ACTTTAATTATAAATTGTAAGTAAATTTCCTTCTTTAATCTTATATTATATATTGGATTTGCTAAAAACATCTCTACTACAAGTTTGAATGTACTATTCTGTTTAAAGTACAGAGGCAAGCACATAAAAATAAAATTAGCATGTATACACATATACATATATTCACATATACATAGCATATACAATACATAAAAGTTAACTTTGAATATATAGAGTATTAGAATTTTAAATCGTTTTTACAGTTGTGTAAAGATTTTTTAAATATTTATTGTATACTAAAAAATTTGAAAAAAGAACAAAAAATTTCCATTTTGTTGTGATTTTTCATCTTTTATATTAACAATATAATATAATTTTATCTAAAATAAAAATAATTTATTAAAAATAAAAATTTTTTAATTTAAAAAATAATAAAGATCTATTGACATTAGGTTTTTCAAAGTTCACGATGATGAGCGCGATTTGCAAGTCCTTGAAATCTAAGTCTAACTGGCTTGCTCCCCGACAATCTTATCCATTCGACGAGATAGCGTACCACTAATCTGTCACGGACTTTACACTGTTAAAGCTAGCATTCAAACAGCTTCCAGGATCGTACGCGCGAAACTCGAAGTCGAATTCAAAGAAATGTCACTGCTTGGTAACGATCTTGCGTCACATCGCGAAACGAAATTCATCGATTGCATAATTTATGGTATAAGATAAATTGACGATTTAAAAAAATTTCTCGATGCGATCTAATTAGATATTTGAAATTATTCATTATTTATATAGAATTGATTAATTTCAAAGAAAAGATATTGATTATTTTCTTTCTTTTTATTGCTATTGTTATTTAGTAATTTTTACATTTAAAATAGAAATAGTTTTCTAAATAAGTAATATAATATTGAAATAATATTGTATAATTTTTAATTTAATTTGAATTATTTTAATAATTTATTTGGCTATAGTAATGGAAAATTATCCAGAACATCATATCTATAAATAATATAACACGTCATTGATAAATGGACGGATAAAAATTAGACGATATCGAACAAACATATTATCTGTTAAAGAAATATTAAATGTTTAAGGTTAATTTTGTACAAAGAACAAAAATTTTTTATATAAAGGAATACTTGCTGGTTTTTCATTTATTTAAATATTCCCAACGGAATTACGCTCGATAATCATAACACGGCAAGCTATATTGTGCGCGTTGTTATTTCTTGGCCCGATAGCGTGGTGCGCGACGTCGTTGTCGAGCTGTTTTTCGTAGTTGGCGATCTCGCCGGTAGGCGCCGCACCGATCGAGTCCCCTTTCGAAAATAACACACGGCCGGTTGACGTCATGTTGTCATGACTGCCGACCGCCGGCACCAACATTGACTCGATGTCGTTCTTCTAGTGCCTGAACAGCGCAGAAAATTTGCACCAACATGAATTGATTACATTTATCTGCTATACAGTTTTGAATTCAAGATAAATTAAAATTTCATAAACTTTATGATGCATCGTTTAATATTGCATCGATTGTTTTTTCAGTTAATACTATAAAATAAAATATAAAGCGAATATTAGAAATTTATTTTTTATATTGATTTTTTTATATTATCTCTTTCTTTTCTCTTTCTTTTATCTATTTTTTGTTTTTGCATTCACTTTTAATATACATATATGAAAATATATTTTATTATTTTATGCTTTCATGAAATTATTATCAAAACGATTATATATTATTATGTTGGTATAACTGAGTTAATGATCTAACCTCTAAAGAAGCAATACTTTTGAATATTTTTCGTTACTAAATATGCAAAGCTGCACTGAGTATTCTGGAGCATTTGAATTCAAAAATGGATTTGAATATTCAATCTTATAGTTTCATCGTTTCAATGTATTCGCGCATGTCTAGCATACAACATATATATGTAGCTTAGGAATGTACGACGCCACACACTAACTGGTTTTATCTACGGGGCTCCAATGGCTTCGTGTGTGTTCGTTCTTTGGCTGACTAGATAGCTTTGACTCGTGTAGCAAACATTACCTCATCGTCAGGCATAGCCGGATCCACAACGAACCTTCTCTACTTTTGATTGTTGTCTCGCATCTTTTCTGTGTTTACTTATTAGTTGTAAAAATAAAATGAAATTGAACTTATTCAAAATAAATGTATTTACAGATTTACTATTCAAATAAAAAATAACATTTGAATTAATACTTACATATTGAAATTATTCTCTTTATTTTTTCTATTTAATTAAATTTTTTATTTTTATTTAACTTATATTTTTATTATTTTTGTTTTATTTTCTATATCAACTGTAATTTTACTATAATTTTACTAAAAGTAATGTAAAAACAGATTTTATTAATCTTTTCATGCTATATATATATATATATATATATATATGTTATAATTTGTCTAGATAGACTTCACGCAGTGAACATTATCTTATTGCGAGCACGGTCGTCATGAATCTTTTCTAGTTCTGGTACTTCTCTCACGTTTATTCCATTGACCTACATTCCTGATGATAAAACAGGAATTGGAGCAAATTTGTTTATGAAAATTCCCTCACTAAAGTTTCTATAAAATTTATTAATATATTATTATTTGATAATAATTATTTAGACAAATATTCTTATAATTTTTCAAAAATATTATTTATTTATTTATATTTAATAAATTTAAATATACAATTTAACAAATTTAATAATTTATTTGTTATATTTCATTAAAATTTCTTTAATAATGATAAAAATTATGTTAGAATATATTCAATATTTCAGACATTCGTTTATCTGATTAACCTCGAAATAAATCCTCTATACGAATTGATTACGGAATTCACTACTAGATGGCATTCCTGTAAGAAAAATATGATATTTAGTACTTATATAAAAATAGTTTGAGAAATATAAAAAAAAATAATTCATTAAATATTGAATTAGATCTATCTTTTTATTTTAGGATAATCTATTAAAAAAAATGCAAAAATATTTTTTTTTTCAAGTAATAAAATATCATATTTTACAATCAAAAGTAATTATAATCCTATAAATCAAATAATCATTGTAAAGAATTGCATTATAAAAAATATTAAAAAAATATAAATAAATAAAAATTAATTTTGTAACAATGTTCCTTTCAATGTTACGATTCTCTAAACAAATGAATATTCAAATGATTCTTTATATGTAAGAGAAAAAAACGCAAATTACAACCCTTAAAGATTTCACGAGACGAAATAAGAGTGGGATGAGCACATGCTTCTTGACTTTGATTTATGGATAGTTAAGAACCGTGCATTTCTGCTCCACACAGCTAATCCGTTATGCGGTAACTCCCTACAGTAACCACCCGGTGGTCGTCTCGATTCAACAAGTGCGCCCGGACCATGTTTCGCAAACATTGTTAGGCCGTCCGTTCAATTCTTGATCGCGCTCATTGAAATCTTGATCTCAATTGTGCCAATAAATGTGATTGACTATTTTTTAATATTAGACATAAAAAATTATAAAATTCATAGATATCTCAAACTTAGTTGATAAAATAAATATTTATAAATAATATATTTAAATTCCGAATCTATTAGATTTTCTTTTATATTCTCCTGTTACTGATTGATGATTATTTATCATAATATTTCTTCTTTTTAATATATAATAATTCATAAAATGGCATTATATTAATCATAAAGATTAATATGATAAATATTGATAAATATGTATTGGGAAAGTATTGATCGAAAACTAGAAGTACTTTCCTGAGGAAATCGTGTTTTCACCGTAATGGAAGGCGAAATCAAGCTTGCGGATACGATCCCTCATTGTTTTCCCCACGATTCCATGAATCGTCTCTC